GTCTTCGTTGAGCATTGCTTACGAAATCGAGCTTGATCTAACGTTTGTCACCATTACCATGTTTCTGCTTTCCTCAGCCTTATAACAGACTCCAGCGCTGTAATGCCTATAAAAGGTAATACTGTTTAATATAAATCTAGGTAATGATGCACCGAGCTTATGGGGCGAAAATGCGTTTTTTGCACAGTTTTCCTAGCAGATGATTGCCCAACTAGCACCGTTTTTCCGGCAAGTACTTCCAGTAAAAAGAATATAGAGTGGCCATTCACTGCGTTCTCAGAAATTATCACAGGAGGTTCCCATCAACATGATCAAGAGTTTCAGCAGTCTCTGAAAATTCTCTGAAAATTTCAGCAGTCTAGCTGCTCCGGTTATGGAGTTACTTTATATTTGACGTGCTCCCACGTGGGGAAACGTAAATGCTATTTTCATGTGCGTTTGCCCAAACACGGTTGTGAACCATGCTCGGAAAATTTCGGCATTTTAAGTGCGAAGTTACGCTAAATTGAACGTGTCTGTATATTAGACGCATGGAACGTAAAAGGAACACGAAAGCTGTATTTATGCATACTTGCCCGAGTGTTGTCCTGGGTCATGCTCGAAAAATTTCAGCAGCCTAGCTGCTTTAGTTCCAGAGTTACAAGACTATCTGGGTCAGATTTCACGTACCAGCGCTGAGATGCAGAGGGAGCGCGAAAGCTCAATTTACTTCCATTGGAGCGCAGTTGGATAGCAAATAGCAATGTAAAATTACAGTTCTCTAAAAAAATTCTATTCAGACTGACCTTTATGTTGGCACAATACCTACTAAAACTTTTACATGCACGTACACAAGATTTAGGGGATGTTTGAAGGCTGAATTTAAACTCTTTGGATCACACTGAGTAAAGAACTCTCCATAAAATTTCAGTCTTCCAACTTTTCTTTTTTTCGAATTCGCTTTCCCACCGAAAAATCTTGTAAGTGTTCGTATGTTAGAACTAAAAAGACATAAGCATTTATTTTATGCCTAGGGACACATACATAGGTGGACTAAATTGCCAAAGTCTCATTTTTACAGCAGGTCTTCAAATCGAAAAACCCCAACAGATGCTTATATACATATATATATATATATACATATATATATATATGTATATATATAAACCCTCTACAATATGCGTGTTTGCATTGCATAAGAACGCATAAAAACTTTTTACGAGTCAGACATACAGTCTCCATTCACCTTACTTTTCCCGTTAAATTTTCAGTGAAGCTGCTAAAATTCAATTAGTTTTTCAAGTATTAAATAAGTTGCACTACACAAAAAAAATGTTAAGGCTTTGCAGATGGCAGTGAACAAAAGCACGTAGCAGACTATTTCGTTTTCGAAGTTCTCATATGCACTTACTGTGTATCGGACTCAACAAATAGTAAAGCACCACATTCAATTTATGCACTCTGCAATGTTAGTCGCTTGACGAGCTGTATTCACAGCGTGTTTTTGTAACAGTCTCACTCGTGTATAGAACCACAGTTCAAATTTCTCAAACTATGTGTTCATCTAGTTACTACGCTTGAAAAAGGCGTTGAAGAGAGCTACATTTTTAAAAAAAAAGTGGACTTTGCTAGTGTCGCCTAGCACATGCCTGTATAGGAGGGGTTTAAAAGAACTAGTAAGATGAAGGATGGCGGGGGAGAAAGCGAGGGGGAGTTGTGTTTCCTCAAAGTTCGAAGTGCACACTTTTTGCGAAGATAAATTGAAGTGTACAACGAAAAACAGCAATAGAACACGTGTATCGAAACAATTGTTCCTTCGAAATGTCTTTTTTAAATCCACCACTCGTTTGCATCCATCAAATTTTCCGGCTTTTAGAGAATTACTCGTCAAAGTTGCTGGCAAACCAGTAGGAGTCTCAAAATATGCTGACGGCAACTAGCAACATTCACGCTGCTGCCATCCATCTATGAGACGGGAATCCTGCAGGAGTTATGGGCCACGAAATGGCACTTGATTTTAGTCTGAAATCCGAAGAAATGTTCGCATTTTGACCTTTCAGAGAATATCACAGCAATGGATTTGATGCTTTGCTCTTACCTCTGCATCTGATACACGTGCGAACACACTAACTTCGACATTTCGAATAATCAGTTTGTAGCGATTTATGATTGTCAAGGCTGCCAGGATAATCGGTGTGAGAATTCGTTGTCACTATTCTTTTTTTTCAGCCATTTTTTACAAATATGTTCCAGTGAAAGAAAAACACACACAGATTTATTAATTTGACAGGGTTAAAATTATTAATAAATGGCAAAGTGCACTAAGGTAGCCATGCGTTTCGCGCAGTTCCGTCCAGCGAACATTTGCTTACTAAAAATATAACTGCTTTACACTTTCGTATACGGAAAAATAATAGATGTGGTGTCTAGCTCCTAAGGTGAGGAAATTCCCACTGAAAATTTCATGTGCCGGTACGTGAAAGCTGAATATGAAAAAATGGGTGAAGAAAATCCTTCCAAATATCAGCCTTCTTGTTTTCCGGCTTCCGAGCTAGTGACATTCACATCAAAATTCTCACGTGGCCTTACGTAAGACCTCTGTATAGTTGGTAACTAAATTTAAGCTTGTGAGATACCTGCAGCGGCAGAAAATGTCATCCCGAAATTTCAGTTTCCTAGCTTTCATGATTCCCGAGAAAATTTTCCGCCAAACTTCTCAAGGGGCCGTACGCGATACT